GAAGGATGTTTTTGTCCCTTTCGTAACCCTCGGTACTGAACGGAAGCCCATCAATATCTGCTCTTACTTGCGGCTGGAGAAGTTCCTTTAAGTAAGTAAATTTTGTGACTGGCGCTAAATTCGTTGACTCGATTTCCGCGCAGAACTTATTCCAAAATGGCAGCCATTGTTCGTATGTCCCATCGTACTTAGTAACTGATAGCTTTGGCAGCTTTGCGTGCGAATCACTCGACTCCCCTTGGTTCCCTTTTCTTAGTTCTGCAGACTTCTCCTCGTATCCTAGCTTCATTTCTAACTTTTCTTTTTCGAATTTGAGTTGCTTTTCTCTTTCCCTTTCTAGTAAAGCTTCTTCACCCTCTCTCTTAGCCAATTCCAATTTCTGTCTCGATTCACTTAAGTGTCTTCCCAGATATTCAATCTCCGCGTCTACGCCCTCAATTTTCGCATCTATTTCATTACTCCAAGTACATACTTCATCCATCGACTCACCGCCTTCCAGTTTCTTTTCTTCGATCTTTCCCTTGACTACATCCACCTCCTTATCCAGCACCACCAGTGCCTCGCGGTGTTTCCCTTCTGAACGATGTCTTTAGCCTTGTTTCGCTTAAATTCCAGAAGTTGAAGCTTCGTAGCAATCTCTTTAAGCAGTGTATCCATTCTTGTGGTCCCGTTAGTCCCGTCGGAGGTGCCACTTAGTGTTGGAAATCACCAGTTCANCATCAATATCTGCTATTACTTGCGGCTGGAGAAATACTTTTAAGTAAGCAAATTTCGTGACTGGCGCTAAATTCGTTGACTCGATTTCCGCGCAGAATTTATTCCAAAATGGCAGCCATTATTCATATGTTCCATCGTACTTAGTAATTGATAGCTTTGGCAGCTTTGCGTGCGAACCACTCGACTCCCTTGGTTCCATTTTCTTAGTTCTGCAGACTTCTCCTCGTATTTTAGCTTCATTTCCAACTTTTTTTTTTCGAATTGGAGTTGTTTTTTTCTCTGTCCTTTTCTAGTAAAGCTTTCTTAGCCAATTCCAATTGCTGTCTCGATTCCCTTAAATGTCTTCCCAGATATTCAATCTCCGCGTCTACGTCCTCAATTTTCGCATCTATTTCATTCCTCCAAGTACATACCTCATCCATCGACTCACTGCCTTCCAGTTTCTTTTCTTCAATCTTCCCCTTGACTACATCCACCTCCTTATCCAGCACCACCAGTGCCTCGCGATGCCTCTCAATAGTCGCGGTGTTTCCCTTCTCAACGATGTCTTAAGCCTTGTTTCGCTTGAATTCCAGAAGTTGAAGTTTCGTGGCAATCTCGTAGAGAAGTGTATCCATTTTTGTGGTCCCGTTAGTCCCGTCGGAGGTGCCACTTAGTGTTGGAAATCACCAGTTCACCCAACACTAGTCTCGTCTCAAAATCTTTTATTCATCACAAAGCTCACCAAAAGTCTCAACCGTCACCGAGCACGTTTTTTTCTTCTCTGAGTAACAGATCATTCCTTATTGTAGATGTATTCTATGTTCACGTGATCAACTTGTCGCTCAAGCTTAGCTACATTGATCTGTTTGGTTGTTGATTACTGTCAGGGTCCTTGTCACGATATGAATTTCCTTTTTTGTTACGCACCTATGCGTAACGCAGCTATGAATTTTTAGCAAACGCAATTGTCAAACATGAATTTTTTAGAGGGTAGTATATCTGATGAACTAAAACCTGAAAGGGATATGTAATTTCTTATTTTGGAATATGACATCACACGTAAATGAAAAACTTCCCGGCCGCGAATGCCTTGCGGCCGAACTTCACGATAAA